AATTAAAATTCTCTATTTAAATACAGCTGCTTCGTGAAGAAAGTATTTTATTGAGGTGAAATTAAAACTTATAAAGTTTCCGTGAAGGCTTTATGTATATTCGATGCACACAGGACTAACTATCTCCAATATCAATGACATCTGTCTAAATGTCAGAAGTCCTCCCATCTTGCTGACATCTGTCTTTATGTATAATAGATTAAATAACCCGCAGTCTACATGTGTAGACAGGTAAATCGGACCAACACAATATTAAAAACATTGAATTTCATTACCCAGGTTAAATACTGCAAGAGATTGTTTCATGACCTTTTAATTGATGCAATAACAAGGTATTATCATAAATCTGACATTAACCCCAATAGTCAATGCAGTAGGCAGATTGTGATTTGTAAATATTTAAAGTTTATTAAATTCATGTACATGCAAGTAATTATGTCAGACCATGGATTTAAGAAAACAACTGCCAAGAGACAGGTGAATTTAAATAAGAGTACGTTCTAAGTTTCTTTGTCATCTACATATAGAGGTGTTTCCCTGGTACCATGTTGTTTATAATAAACAAGACTAAAATATACCTATAAAATGGAGGAGGCATGTCTGAAAGTTGGCGTCATCGTACATACAACTGTACAACTAATGAACGAATGTTTGTACAGGGCCAGGCCACGTACAGTACCACAGGAATTTGTAAAATAGTTGATCATGTTCCAGCAAACATTTGTTTTTTCCACAGCAATCATTTGCTAATCATCTCCTCCTCCTAAATTTTCTAAAGTGGGATGCAGTTTCAATAAAGGAGACTGACATGTTAGATCAGTCATTTTCATATTTGTACAAAACATGTCCACCACTACATTTTTGTGTTGTCATGTTGACCTTTGGAATCTTTGTTGTCAGACCTTTAACACTGTTAAGACAGTTTATACCCTACAGGGTTGTCATGTTGAACTTTGGAACCTTCGTTGTCAGACCTTTAACACTGTTAAGGCGCTTTATACCCTACAGGGTTGTCATGTTGACCTTTGGAACCTTTGTTGTCAGACCTTTAACACTGTTAAGGCGCTTTATACCCTACAGGGTTGTCATGTTGACCTTTGGAATCTTTGTTGTCAGACCTTTGACACTGTTAAGACGGTTTATACCCTACAGGGTTGTCATGTTGACCTTTGGAATCTTTGTTGTCAGACCTTTAACACTGTTAAGACGGTTTATACCCTACAGGGTTGTCATGTTGACCTTTGGAATCTTTGTTGTCAGACCTTTAACACTGTTAAGACGGTTTATACCCTACAGGGTAGACTACAATGGTTCTGCTTTGTCATGTTGCTGGCCAGGTCAGAAAACTGACAACTGGAGATTTATCCCTGGAATCATTGATTACCTGTTAAACTGTTGACAGCAATGACAGGAAAGCCTGGCATGACAAGACCACACATTTCTATCTATAATTAGCCAGAAAATTAGCTGTGATTGAAATAGCGCTGATCAGGTATCCAGGTCATTTAATCACATATAGGACAACTTTTTAACCTAACCATATATATCCCTATACTATAGGTCACCGGACCATGTACGCCCCTATACTACTGGTCACCTGACCATGTATGTCCCCATACTACAGGTCACCTGACCTTGTACGTCCCTATATTTTAGATCACCTAACCATGTACGTCCCTTTACTACAGGTCACCTGACCACCTATACTACAGGTCACCTGACCATGTACGTCCCTATCCTACAGGTCACCTGACCATGTACGTCCCTATACTACAGGTCACCTGACCTTATATGTCCCTATCCTACAGGTCACCTGACCATGTACGTCCCTATTATACTTATTACTACAGGTCACCTGACCTTATATGTCCCTGTAACACTGGTAGTGACATCTGTCTGTAGGTGTTGTACTGGAACAAACACAGGGAGGACATCTGTACTCTAACACAGGACCAGGAACCTGCTGATATTCTGGTAGTTAAAACCTAATCAATCCAAGATAAGGCTTGAAGTATAACGTTGAAATATTTCAAACTTTGACCTGTATATGTTTGAAATGAGTGATTGCTGAGCACTGCTAGATTTGTTGATGTTGATTGATCAGCCGTTTTGTGGGCCCTGATATCTATAACTATAGGGCCCTGGTATCTATATAACTATAGTATATTATACATGTACCTCACAATAAACACAGGATCCAAACTCCAGCAGTAAATAATACAAGGCCCCAATCATAACGAGACAGAATCAATGTATTATCATAAAAATATGCTGTCATGTTGTTTAATAGTTTATGTTTCACTTTCAAAACAGTTTCATTGTGTAAAGGATACATTTCTTTGATACAAACAGTTGTATTTGTTGATGAATGCGATTTTAACCATATTATCAATGCATTATTTTATTACATCATACCCTGCCCCGCCCTCCCCTCTAGGCCCATCCCCTAATTAACCAAACCTCAACTCCCTACAGTCCACCATACTCCTTAGTCCACCATACTCCCTAGTCCACCATACTCCCTAATCCACCATACTCCCTAGTCCACCATACTCCCTAATCCACCATACTCCCTAGTCCACCATACTCCGTAATCTACCATACTCCCTAGTCCACCATACTCCCTATATATATAACTAGTCCACCATACTCCCTAGTCCACCATACTCCCTAGCCCACCATACTCCCTATATAACTAGTCCACCAGACTCCCTATATAACTAGTCCACCATACTCCCTATATAACTAGTTCACCATACTCCCTCTATATAACTAGTCCACCATACTCCCTAGTCCACCATCCTCCCTAGTCCACCATACTCCGTAATCTACTATACTCCCTAGTCCACCATACTCCCTATATATATAACTAGACAACCATACTCCCTAGGCCACCATACTCCCTAGTCCACCATACTCCTTAGTCCACCATACTCCCTAGTCCACCATACCCCCTATATAACTAGTCCACCATCCTCCCTAGTCTACCATACTCCCTATATAACTAGTCCACCAGACTCCCTATATAACTAGTCCACCATACTCCCTAGTCCACCATACTCCCTATATAACTAGTCCACCATACTCCCAAACAGGTAAACGGGTCCTATTGGAGAACACAATTAATACCAATAATATTATGCAGGTTTTTTTTGACAACCTTAAGTTTACTAATCTAGTAATTGTAAAAGATGAGTTACAATATGTATGTAGGATACTGGGATGACTGTAGAACATAGGACTCCCATCCACAGCCCATGCCATCAAATCACTCTAGATCTGCATGTAAAACACTTTAAAACACTGCCTTTAAAAATGCCAGCTTTTAAAAAATATCCACCTGTAAAACAGTGAATCTGTAGAACCAATTAAAAATGCTCTGCCTATAAAACAGTTTGTATAAAAAAAACGATTGTATAAAAAATGTCTGTTTAAAAAAAGTCAGTAAAAAATTACAGTCTGCATAAAACAGTCTGTAAAAATAACCAGTCCGTTGTATAAAAAATCAGTCGGAAAAACAGTCAGTCTATGTCATGTGATTGACATCAGTATTGAGATTCAAATCTACTAAACTCGGTGGCCAAGCTTTTCTAAGCAGTTGACATTTTGACTTGGGTTTAATGGGTTTTTTTTCCAAATATGTTTTCAGAAATTTCCAGAACAACTAAGGTGGAAGTGAATGATTGTGTTAAAAGTAAACATGTATTTAACTTCCCAAGTCAACAACTTGAGATGTTGGTAGAATTAAACTATGGCTCTATATAACTCCGAAAGTCAACAACCTTGAAGGACAATTTCTATTCTTTTCCAACAGACTGACATACAAGTTTGGCCGTGAGGGCTAGAAATAAAAACCATTAGTCAAAAACGGGAATCACATTTATTGATCTTTTGCATAAAAAAGAAAAAACATCAAGAAAATGTATTCATGTATATGATAACATGTATATGATTACAAATATGAAAGCGATGGATTTGAACTCATTGTGTTATCTTAGAACATTCCAGGGAAAGGTAATATCATTGCTACGTGTTTGTCATAAACCTTTTATGCTACACACACATTAGGTGATATTTGTTGGAAGAACATGCTTATGAACTTAAAATACTCGTTTATGTAAGCAACATGAAGTATGACTGCCTTGCAGGGAGTGGGCGAAGCCAACATAACGGCTTTTACCGATATTGGCTATAATGACAAGCAGTGCTGAGTGGGCAGGTTGTAGTGGTACAATCAATCACTCTGACCTTGGAGTGTCTTGTACACTAGACCGGTCTTTATCACCAACTTGTATTGTGTGTACATAGTATTGAACATTACCTGTTAAACACTTAGCTATTACCAACTCATTTTAATAAAAAAAATGTCCTTCATAACCTCAGACCTTACCGACCCCTCGAAATAATAGTTGTCCTTCACAACTTTAGACCTTACCGACCCCTCCAAACAAAGGTTGTCCTCCACAACCTCAGACCTTACCGACCCCTCCAAACAATAGTTGTCCTTCACAACCTCAGACCATACCGACCCCTCGTAACAAAGGTTGTCCTCCACAACCTCAGACCTTACCGACCCCTCCCAACAAAGGTTGTCCTCCACAACCTCAGACCTTACCGACCCCTCGCAACAAAGGTTGTCCTTCACAACCTCAGACCTTACCGTGACCTCGCAACAAAAGTTGTCCGTCACAACCTCAGACCTTACCGACCCCTCTTAACAAAGGTTGTCCTCCACAACCTCAGACCTTACCGAACCCTCCAAACAAAGGTTGTCCTTCACAACCTCAGACCTTACCGACCCCTCCAAACAAAAGTTGTCCTTCACAACTTTAGACCTTACTGACCCTGCAAACTCCTCGATTTTCTTGGTTAAGTTGTTCACAGTTTGAAGTGTTGTACAAAGGTTTGAACCATCAAGAAATGTCGGTTATGGTGAATTTTGGGTAAAACCAATTATGGTGTGTAGTATCAATACTTAATCCCTTTTCTCTCTATTTCAGATGCTATGTACCACCATGACACATCCAGCTATGGGAGTGTGTCCCCAGTCAACCACCCGCCCAGTCCTCTGATGCATGTGCTGGACTCTAACGCCACGCATGAAATCAGCGAGCACAACCTGGATAGCATCAGTTGTACCTCAGACTTTGAGAGGCACAGCTTAGACTTTGATAGACACAGCTCAGAGGAAGAGCTGGAAATCATTCACAGGGAAGTCGTCGCTGAGAAGAGAAAATGGTCTCAGGTGAATAATCGAAATTGTGAAAGTGCAAGTTCTTCGGATGAGGAAGTGAAAGAACTGATGTTAGAACCTCAACCAGTGTTGTTTAGGTGTTCACCTCCGCAAGGCGTGCATAAACTTAATAACAACAGTGTAAACAACAACAATGTCAGTAACTTTAACCACAACATCTGTAGTACTAACATTACCGTCATCAGCTCCAGTGGGCCGACAAATCTTAGGAGCAAAAATAGTGTTAATAATAACGAAAATGTCAAGTCCCCACCATCCCAATTACACATTAGTAAGGTGACTCCAATCTCTGTAATGAGTGTGTCGCCTAGGAAACGACATCGACAGACAACTACCTCTGACTCTCCTCCATTTACTGCGGACCTGGCACAGTCTGCCACAGTCATACGCAGACCTTGTCTCGATTTTGAAAAAATGCAGGTAAGAATATTTAAACGATTTAAAACTCTTGTCAATTAGATATTACCTGCACGTATGATAGACAATATTGTCCCCTCTTTGTGTTTTCACTAGTTAAATATTTTTGCAGAATTGTTGTTTCTGGAAATTCTCAGGAGGCAAAAGTTTGCAGAATTTTCATCTTTATTTAATATTTCATATTCATGTACATTACATATTTTTTGTTGTATATATTTTCTCATTGCAAGAAAACATTTAACTGTGAAAATAAAAGAGTTTTACAATACATCATTGCTTTTGAATTATGTGATTTTTTATTTTGCTTCATTGTTGTTTTGCATGTGAACAAGTTTGTGAGGTTTAGCTGGATAAAGAGCAGGGTTTTTTTCTGGATCAAAAAACTGTCTCAAAATTTGGAAAATATGAAATGGAAATGACCAAATGATTTATCTGATTGTGAGAAGTCATTCATTACATGTAAATGATATGAAAGTATCCTAATTTTAGTACGAAAGAGAAAGAATTTTAGAAATGAAAACAAGGATTAAATTCTCTGATTGAAAAATATACAGATATGGTCATGTGAATTTGTTTGATACAGTATAAAAATATCTGGTGCATAATTGTTAGTAGGAGGCTTTTCTGCATGGTTCTCATTGAAGTTTTATTTAGTGCTCCAATAGCTGCCATCTAGATCCCTCCCGTAGTACAGGTAACGGAGCTCATAGGGTACAGGTAACAGAGCTCGTAGTACAGATAACAGAGCTCGTAATACAGGTAACATAGCTCGTAATACAGGTAACAGAGCTCGTAGTACAGGTAACGGAGCTCGTAATACAGGTAACACAGCTCGTAGTACAGGTAACAGAGCTCGTAATACAGGTAACATAGCTCGTAATACAGGTAACAGAGCTCGTAGTACAGGTAACAGAGCTCGTAGTACAGGTAACACAGCTCGTAGTACAGGTAACACAGCTCGTAGTACAGGTAACAGAGCTCGTAATACAGGTAACAGAGCTCGTAGTACAGGTAACAGCTTGTAGTACAGGAAACACAGCTCGTAGTACAGGTAACAGAGCTCATAATACAGGTAACATAGCTCGTAATACAGGTAACAGAGCTCGTAGAACAGGTAACGGAGCTCGGTGTTGTCACGGCAGGGCAGAGTCGTTCAAACCTACTTTACATACACAGAAATAACGAGTTCTGATTGATTATTTATTTTCACGTAGAAAGTTTGGGTTTAACTGAATCCCATAGCTGTACTGCAGGCCATTAAAGAGTGTTTACCTAAGGAGTTTATAGAAATCAATATCACACTCGGATTTTAACTTTTTATTGAGTAAACTGAGAAGGTTTTGAACAGCTCCACCCTAGAATTAATTAGGTCATCAAAATCTACCAAATATCATCTGAAGAGGTTCCTGTTCTTTATTAGTTTTACTGGCTCGCCTATACCTTTATTGGCCTACAGACATGATCGAAGGCTCTGTGAAGTATTAATAAAAGATGTTGATATAAGATACACTATTACTGAAGAATGATCTCAAACGTGTATGACTCATCGCGATCGAGAGAGGGAGTACAGGAGATGAGAATGTGGTACACTTACACCATAACAATACCGTTAAAGGCTTGGTTTTATGTTTCTTAGCAGGCCTGGTATCTGGTTAAAGTCCCTATATCTACCATTCAGTATATCCCGGAGAAATGCTGTATAAAGATGAGGCTGTAAATACATCATTTTCTGGTCCATTTGTATCCAATCTCGGAAACGTTCATGGATCCAATGGTGTTGAAAGGTTTACAAGCTTTGAATATCTTTACAATTTTTGAAGTAAAACATGTTCATCTAGATTTTATAGGGGTATTCCATTTTATAGGGGGTATTCTATTTAGATTTTATATGAGGTACTCTATTTAGCTTTTATAGGGGGTATTCTATTTAGCTTTTATAGGCTAGAGGTTATTCTATTTTAAAGGGGGTATTCTGTTTAGCTTTTATAGGGGATGTTCTATTTAGCTTTTATAGGGGATGTTCTATTTAGCTTTTATAGGCTAGAGGTTATTCTATTTTAAAGGGGGTATTCTGTTAAGCTTTTATAGGGGATGTTCTATTTAGCTTTTATAGGGATGTTCTATTTAGCTTTTATAGGGGATGTTCTATTTAGCTTTATCTCTGAGTGAATACTGCTTACTGATCATGTTGGAATGTGGATGAGAACGATCCAGGAAAACTGTACAAGATCTTGACTTTTGGATTGGGTTGTCTTATCTTGAACAGAGTTTGGGGTATCAGCCTCTAGATGGGGTAGGTGGTTCTCTCCTCGTGTTAGGGTTGTGTTGTTCTTACAGGGAGGAGGGTCGTCTCCTCATGACAGGGTATGGGCTGTCTGCTTTTGAAAGAGGTAAGATTGTTTCATTTTGGCTGATGATGGAGTTATCTCCTCTTGGATGGAAAACGATGTGAATTTTGAAGTGTTGAGTTTGACTACTCCTGCAGACAGATTAAATGAGAAGTTGACAGGATGTCATGCTAACTTCAGACAGAACGTTTGTTGTTCATTTAGGCTTAGGTTTTCTGACTGTGACAGTTGAAGTCTAAAAGCCAGACTGGCAGGATTCAATTTGTTTAAATTGTCATCCTTCTGCAATTTTTTGTCCAGAGTTGTCGAGAGGCAATGAGATTTGGTTTAATCCCATTTATTGGTTTGGCTTTCATCCAAGTCCACCAGTAAGGTTGTTTTCTCCAGAAACATGTGGTCTTTCTTCAAGTGCCATAGTTTCCTTCTCCGAATAAGTTGAAATCCTCAAAGCACAGATAAAAGCATGTATTATTTTTAAAATAAGAACTGAAGTGAATGTTAATTGTTACTTTGCTCTGCATCTTTATCTTCTAAACTGTTTCCATGACTCACTGCCAGTTCTCTTAAGAGATCCAGTAAGTAGAGGCATTCACTGGTCGGGGATGTACATATAACTCTTTATTGAGAAAGAAATGTTTGTAGAAAATCTGCCAGATTCTTCCAGTGATGGAGCGTAGGAGTGAAACAATCTAGGCTGAATAAAGTACGCCATATATTGGTATGGGGAAGTTTTATGTGGACGTACAGTCCTGGTAATGTGTTGTAGACAGGCAGTCCTGGTAATATGTTGTAGACATACAGTCCTGGTAATGTGTTGTAGACAGGCAGTCGTGGTAATGTGTTGTAGACAGGCAGTCCTGGGAATGTGTTGTAGACAGGCAGGCCTGGTAATGTGTTGTAGACATACAGTCCTGGTAATGTTTTGTAGACAGGCAGTCCTGGTAATGTGTTGTAGACAGGCAGTCGTGGTAATGTGTTGTAGACAGGCAGTCCTGGGAATGTGTTGTAGACAGGCAGTCCTGGTAATGCGTTGTAGACATACAGTCCTGGTAATGTGTTGTAGACGTACAGTCCTGGTAATGTGTTGTAGACGTACAGTCCTGGTAATGTGTTGTAGACGTACAGTCCTGGTAATGTGTTGTAGACATACAGACCTGGTAATGTGTTGTAGACATACAGTCCTGGTAATGTGTTGTAGACGTACAGTCCTGGTAATGTGTTGTAGACAGGCAGTCGTGGTAATGTGTTGTAGACAGGCAGTCCTGGGAATGTGTTGTAGACAGGCAGTCCTGGTAATGTGTTGTAGAAAGGCAGTCCTGGTAATATGTTGTAGACATACAGTCCTGGTAATGTGTTGTAGACAGGCAGTCGTGGTAATGTGTTGTAGACAGGCAGTCCTGGGAATGTGTTGTAGACAGGCAGTCCTGGTAATGCGTTGTAGACATACAGTCCTGGTAATGTGTTGTAGACAGACAGTCCTGGTAATGTGTTGTAGACATACAGTCCTGGTAATGTTTTGTAGACAGGCAGTCCTGGTAATGTGTTGTAGACATGCAGTCCTGGTAATGTGTTGTAGACAGGCAGTCCTGGTAATGTGTTGTAGACAGGCAGTTTGGAGCTGTCGTCACAGTCCTCTTATAGCAGTTCAGGCTGATACTGCTGGATTACTAAAGGCTTGTAGTGAATCTAAAGGTGTGTTATTCTCTTCATGGTCTGGCTGATAGAACAAGCAAACAAGTTCTAGTAAGCAGAGAAATCCAGTTGTTTCCAGGAAAAAACTTGCCACAACATCTTTTATCAAGCTGTACATTTTCAGTGAGGTGCTGTTTATATACAACATAAATGACAACAAAACAAACTAAATGTTAACCTAGATGGTATAGATAACAGGCGAGGATGTAGAGGGTATAGATAACCAGCGAGGATGTAGAGGGTATAGATAACCAGTGAGGATGTAGAGGGTATAGATAACCAGCGAGGATGTAGAGGGTATAGATAACCAGCGAGGATGTAGAGGATGTAGATGGTATAGATAACCAGCGAGGATGTAGATGGTATAGATAACCAGTGAGGATGTAGAGGGTATAGATAACCAGCGAGGATGTAGAGGGTATAGATAACCAGTGAGGATGTAGAGG